CAATTACATTTACTTCCTCCCTACCTCTCTCCACATACATCCCCAGTCCTCTAGGGTTTACATATGAATACTAAAACACTGACAATAAGCAATCCTCCCTCCTGTGAGTTTGGCAAATCACTCTGAATCAAAATAAATATTACCTATGATGTTACATTTAGTTTTAAATGTATCTGTTCCAGAAGACTAATTTAAAATTGCATAGTGACTAAATATATTGTTCTGTATTTGAGCTTGTTTAATAAAGTGTACCTATCATAATAGTTTCGTATTAAATAGATAAAAGAGTTTTGAAATAGAATTGCATGGTCATGCAATCTTAAATGTCTGAAGGAAAAACTGCTGAAGTGATTTAATGCTGGACCACCCTAGAAATATCAATTAGCGATTTCTCCCCTAGGATGAGGGACATTATCATGGCAGCCCCTCTTCTTTGTCCTCTGTTGACTTCCCTGACTTGACTACCCTTCCTCCAATCCAGGATTACAATTCTCCTCAAGAGCCTGGAGCTACACGCACCCCTGGGTAAACAAGGGAGTAGCAGAGTGCTAAAATAGAGACACTGATAATATCTGTCTCAGAAGTTCAATGAGAATTGAACGAGTTAATAAGTATAAAGTACTTAGAAGAGTGCTTGGTACACAGTGACTATTCAATATATTATTCAAAACATAATTTTAATAATGATGACTTTATAGATTGACTTTGTACTAATGACTGTCAAATTTCTTTTTTTCCCATTTTTTGTAAATGTTTTTTTTTTTATTGATTTTGGAGAGAGAGGAAGGAGAGGAAGAGAGAGAGAGAAACATCTGTGTAGGAGAGAAGCATCTATCAGCTGCCTCCTGCACACCCACTACTGGGGACCAAGCCTACAACCAGGGCATGTGCCCTGACCTGGAATCCAAATGGTGACCTTTTGGTGCATGGGATGATAATCAACTAAGCAACAGCAGCCAGGGCCAAATATCTGTCTCTTTCCTCGAGTATTTTTTCTTTTAATTTTTAAAGATAATGTCAATTTCTTTTGAGAAATAAGATGAAATTTGGTCTTATCCTATCTCAGTGATGGCGAACCTATGACACGCATGTCAGTGGTGACACACGAACTCATTTTTTGGTTGATTTTTCCTTGTTAAATGGCATTTAAATATATAAAAAAATATCAAAAATATGTCTTTGTTTTACTATTGTTGCAAATATCAAAAAATTTCTATATGTGACACGGCACCAGAGTTAAGTTAGGGTTTTTCAAAATGCTG